AGGTATTCTTGCATGACAACTGTGAATTATATGAGGTGAGGAATTTGTAAGTTGAAAGAACTTGTTTACAATCCTATTAAATACTTATCAATAAAATAGTTCAAAACAAAACAAGAATTTTTAAAAATGTTGCTTTATATCTGTTGCATATGTGAAAATATATTATTTGTGTCATATCATTTATACGTACATGTAAGCAATAAAGTAGGTAACTCTTTTGTTCTCTAAATTGGATAAGAAAAGACGGTTGACATTAAATTCATCTTGATGGCAAGTGATTATCAAGTGCTTTTAAGCATTATTATTCATGCTCTCATTGATAACTTTTCCATAATTGTATATTAACATGTATTGTGATTTATTCATTTTTTTCCCTATATTTTCTATTTTTATAAGGTTTTTTTTTTTTTATAAGAAAATGGCACATTACATATAGGGATATGGAGCAGACATTAGAATAGTCTTATACATGATGAATATATGTATATATGTTTTGAGACCTGTCCGACGAAGCACTCACAATCCAGAGTTGTGTTTAATAAAATGAATAGAAATTCTATAGTGTTCATTTTTCATATTTTCAGAAAGTCATACATTCTTGTTATCATTTGTAGCCATAAATAGAAACAAAACATAGATCTACAGTTAGGAATTTTTTTTTGGGGGGGGGGGGATAAATATTTTTTATTGATTGAATAAAGAAACGTACCTTAACATCATAAGATTATGTTTGAAGAATTTGGAAAAAATGTAAATTATGAAAAGAAAAAAATATAAATATCCCAATTTTTTACTTAAGAAGAACACAACATACATGTACACCATCAAACACAGATGTAAATCCAAAAAAAAAAAAAAAAATGCTTGCATTAACAGAAAATTAAAAAAAAAACTGGCGACTTACTTACGTGTAATCTTAAACAAGAGAAAAAAAAGGCATCATTATCCAGTAGGGGGAAAAAACCATCTGTAGGTGCCATCACGTTTCATGGGCTTCAAATCGAGATAATACCTGTCTCTTCATCTCTTATGAAAATTTTGCTGAATTCTTTTATAATGGTCATTTTTATCGCAAGAATCCTTTGTTGTAGTAAAAAGCTAATAGAAGAAAGGATTTTAGGTGCATAACATAGATTCGTGAGGATATCACGACCTTTTACATTCTTGTGACATCTTTAGATGTGGTAGGAGTTTAGTGCAAGACTTTTTGGGGAAAAAAGAAAAACCGGAAATTAACCTGCTCGTCATAATATCAAGTTTTATGGCCAAAAATCTCTTGAATTTTTATAAGAATTTGTTTCAAGTGACAAAAAGAAGGGTGTTATGCAAGATTGAAATGATAAATTGCTTCAAATTTTCCGTCTGTATCAAGCTATTTGATAACCTGAAGGAAATGACTTAAAAAATATGACTTTTTAGAAATTTGTTATGGAATGTCATTAATTTTATAATAGAAAACACTTACTCTCACCGAGATTTGACAAAGTTTTACAAGACACGAAAGCATTCTGTCTTTGAAACTTAATGCCTGGTAAATGCTTCAGGAAAAGGATAAGTAACTAGAAACTGTTTTTTCTTTCTTCTCCAAATTAAGCACCTCGATCCGAATAGATTAAGCATTTTATACTCAGGGTAGCAACTTCTTGATGCAAATATCTTTTTTATGTAGTGTCAACAACAATCTTTTAAAGATGGTTTTCCATACATAGAAAATTTGTACAGAGAACTCAAAATTTTCGTTTTATATTATTTAGGCTATAACCCTATACCGCAGCTGTAAAATCATTCGAAGTTAACGAATGACTTTGAAATATTTATAGTTATAAATTTTATTTTTATACTAGACAACTACAAGTTTGAAAATAAACAAAATGCATCATTTTTTTTTTTTATTTTTTAGAGAAATAAAATAGAAATATGAAAGTAACTCAATTGCCACACAAATACCTGTTGACTTTTTTCAAATTTACAAAGATGATGTGCAATATGCCTGTAGCTTCAAATGCATAAAAATCAAATTCAATTTGTGAACTTTGAATTTGGAGCAGTTTTAATTCCTGAAGGGCATGAAATTATGACAGTAAAAAAGTGTTCTGCGGAAAAAATTCTCGGCAAAAAATATTCTATAGTAAAAAAAGAAAGAGAAGATTTCTTGGGCTTTGAACCCAAGCAATAAAAGTCCTAAGTATCAGTTTACCGCCCTAGAGACTGTCACACTTAGTACTGCACCACACACTTCTTAACAGGTATCAGCATTGAAATCTTGTTTGTAATATGCCTTGAATAACTGGACTTCAAATATAACTAAGAAAGATGCGAAATTTATGTCATAATAGAAAATATAGTGATAACGAACAGTAATCAGTCTCAAAGGTCGATTGAAACAATACAGATCGGGAGCAGAGCAAACACGGACCTCTAAAAACATCAGAGGTGGGATCAGGTGCCATGGAGAAGTAAGCCCACTTGTCAACCGGTCACACGCATCGTGTGCTCCTTGTCATAAAAGTGTATTTCTAGGATACAGTGGGTCCTTCTTCCATGTTTTCGTTTAGCAAAAAAAATACATTTTATGCATACTTGGAGCTAAGACACACTCATATGGGAAAATTGTGTTATAGTGTGACAAAATGACCATTTTTGCCCTCTTTGGTGTGTATGCTATTTCACAGAGAAATAATTTCAATCTGTTGAGATTTTTGCAAATTGTGGAGCGTTTTATAGAAAGTGTGATAGATGAAATATCAAACAAAATTTGTTATTATGGAGCTTTAATTTTTCACCTTCTTATTTGTCGCACATAGGCATTTATCTATCCTTGTTCGCCCATCTTCTTTATTTTAAATTAATGTTTTCTCTTTGATCGTAATAATTTTATTGGATTTTGTTTAATTTATATATATATATATATATATATATATATATATATATATATATATATATATATATATATATATATATATATATATATATATATATATATATATATGTCGTTTTCCTTTTTAAAAAAGCAACACTCTAAGCGTAAAATATTCATATGAATACTTGTAAGTGCGAATCTGGTTTCTACTATTTGTTTGTATTTTTGTTTACTTTTAACAATTACGACCAGTAATCGAATTGAAATATCAAATATTATGATTCTCTTAGAAGTCATGCGGCCTCTTCCTTGATCTCGTATAAAACATCAATATATGGATTAAAATTCACTCACTGACCCACCGTCGTCTCTGATTCTTCATTCGAGATAAAACTTTAATCTAATATTTCTCAAAACTTTTCGTCGCCAATACTTTACAACTGGGATAAACTCGTCCTTTCACTAGTTCAATTTGTGTATTTTGTGAATTGACGGCGATTTTGTCGTCGAAGGACCTTTAAATTAGATTTCACAGAGAAAGGCTGTGTATAAATTTTTACCTGTTTAGATTAAACACGTTAAGTACTGATCAAATCGATTGAAGTTACAATGCCTCTATAATTATTTCATTGACAAATACAGTGAACTATTAGTGTTTCACTGGAGCTTCTGTGCGAAGAGCAAGGAAGCGAGAAAAGTCATTAGCTTGCGGTAATGGTAAATTGAGAATTCCACTTTGTAAATGGAGATACATAGGCTTTGCTCTGGAGTTTAATGAAGAAATTCACAATCAAAATACACTTGGTATACCCCATCTCTATCAAATATAAATAATGCTACTATAATGGTATTCACACTTTAATGAAACTTTATATCTGGAAAACATTAAATCCATTCAGAAATGTGTTATTTTCTTCATAAAATAGAGCCAGTGCGAGTTATGCTCGTACACACGTTGATCGTTTCACTAAAATAATTTTAACTTTGCGAGAATTCTTTCTGCTCGTGAATGCCATTTGTAATGTTCGTTTTCATTCATAATCGTTAATGGCCCCGATAATTACGGCACGGTTTAACAATGTTATGTTCTGTTACACTCGAGCATTAAAGGTTAAAAAATGGCCTCGCTTTTCTGGGGTTATAAAAAGTGTTTCTCCGATATTCTTCATGTAAAGGAGAAACAAAAAATCACCATGTCCATCTCTGATCACGGTCTCTTTGATGCTTGCCGAAAGGTACAGAAAACACATGTGCAACAAGTATTCTATCGCGGTTAATCGTGGTTTTCTGATTTATAACATGAGAAAAGTGGGACTGGACAGATTTCAGAACGAATCAGAGAGCGACCTCATGAATATTCATACAAATGACAGGTAGAATCAAAAGAAGGGGCGGTGCCTTAGTAATACTTGTTTTTCATTGTAGTAATTTTATTATAAACGTTTCTTTATAAGATAAAAGATGAAAGGAGACAAATGATCTAGCGAATAAAAACTATTTGTATAAAAACCTTGCGCTCGGGGTTTTACATAGTATGAAAGTGACCAGGCTAGGGACTAGGGAAGAAAAATAAAATAGGAGCAAATCAACGTTTATCTTCGCTTTGAAGTGAGACAGAAAAGTTTGTCTCAACATCTTTGATTGTTGAAGTACAACTAAACAGTATTTTGTGTTGAAGTTTGACGGAACAATTTTTTTGGATTTTTTTTTCAGCGTTTATTATTTGGATCTGTCCATAATTCACAGCTAAATGGAAACTGATTTTGGATTTGGTATTCTTTAGAATCTTCATATAAAAGAAGTCCTAGAGGGGGATTTATATTGGCGTGAAGTTTTAGCAGTGGATTATATGTGCAGGTATTTTACAGAAATGCCACCTGATTTTAACTTACACGACATTATCAAGAAAGAAACTTTGGCAAATCATTCGTTTTCAGCAACCTACAATAGAACGACACACTGTTCGCTAAAACTGTGAAATTAGTTAGAATGGAAATATTCAATTTCACTTGATAAACACTTTTTGCATAATGACCACAACTTACTTCATTGGTTTGCTTTCTCGTAATATTTGACATGGCGTTTTTCATGGAAAGTTCATCAAGTGAATTTTCGGTTTTCAAAGCATTGCCATAAAATCCTGATTTTTTTTTGTTAAATAAGTGAAAAAGAAGTTAGAATGACGAAGATACATTTTGTATTAACGATCTGGGTTTGTGCAATTTATGAAGCATCTAGCATGGCGAGGCGGTTAGACATGCCACTGGATGTAAAGAAACTGGAGAGCTTGGGAAATACAGATACTCTTATGAAATCTTTGAAAAACATTGCTCAAAAGTCGCACAACTGCGGCGTGAAAGAAATACCAAAATTACGTCGACACTACCTCAGGAATACAACTGTGACTTGCAATGATGGGTCTCGTGCAGGGTAAGTCATCCATAACCCAATAGACGACAATATGACGTCATAATTTAAATTTTCTGGCAATTCTTTCCTCGATCAAAATTTAGCAAAAGAAGATTGAAAAAATACCCCTGTAGAATAACATTTGGAATAAAGTGTACACAAATGTGATAAGCCTATCGATTGCAGCAACCTACAAATGCTACATAGTTTCACAGCAGTGTCCTTCAGCAGTTCAATTGTTTGTATACACATTCTTTTATAGAATTTCCAGGTTAAGCGATTTGTGTGTGGCAATCGTCTGCAATGCAGAGGAGCACGGATAAATATTTCTCATATAATGTTGTCCTATCTATACATATATTTCAAGAGTTCAGTGTAATGTTTTAAGGCGCAACGGCTGTATTTCAGCAAGGATTTGTCGGAACGAGAGTCCGGTGGTGAAATAGCTTACATTTCTGACATTTCTCGTGTTTGGTTGTACTAGTCTAATCTCTGTATAATTAAACTGAAGCCCCCCTTGTTTGGAATTAATTAAGTACTTTTTGGTCACTCATTTTCTCTTCTCTAAAGAGTGTTAGGAATGCGCGAATTTACTAATTGTTGTAAAGACAAGACGTTTCGTTTTATTTCATTACTTCCGCTTAAATGGTACGACAATAAATTCTTACAAACTTGAGGAAGCGCTAGGCACAGGTATAAGTGTTAAGACCTGCTTCTTTCATCACCTCAACTTCAGAAAGATACCTCAAAAATGAAATCGTTGGTTTTGGATAAAGCTTAATAGATAAATAAGTATCCGATCAAAGCATGTTAGGGGGGCCATCTTTATCAATGTTTACCCTCCATCCGCGTGGCATCGAGCTGGGCGCGAGTCGAACCGTTTGCGAGATATTCACCCAAAAATCTCTGCCTTTCATCTGTCTATAGCACTCGTGTTTCATTCATATTTTTGTGTACAAACATTTGTTTGTTTAATTTCCTTCGCTGTTGGAACGTTATAAAGATCGTTGTCTCACTAGCAACGAACCACGCGAGTCGGCATGAGCTGTGTTGTTCTGTCACAGGGAACCATAATGAAAAGTGATTCTTGGAGTTTCGACAAAGGAAGTAAACGAGAAATGAGTCTTCCCTTCATCACGAGATTACTCTTGGAGATTTAGTTTTACAGTCAAAATTTCGCTCAGAATCTCATTCATAAAAATGAATATTAAATTAAGCGAGATGAAAGGACCTATAGACGGTCTAAATTAAAGGTGTAATCTGGCGTCCGGTGTTTAATATTACATCATTCATCGAGATTTTGTATAATGAAATAAATCTAATAAATTACATACAATGCTTGCTAGGCGTTGCAAAAATGAGAGAAAAGATTTTGATAATCAATAGTAATAAGGCATTGGAAACTGATCCTATATTACTCAAAATTCCAGCTTGTTGCATTTATGAAAACACCGTCTCCTTTGTACGAGGTCTTTCGCAGTTTTTGGGGTACACCCCCTAAGTCGAGAGTCAATATCGTTTGGTCATTCATAAAGCTATCAAAAACCTATATAATCCTGCTAAGTAGCTAAGAACGTAATTACGAAATTCGATCTTACTCAAATTCTAAAATTATAAAGTAGAAAAGGGACAATGTACAATATTGTAATCCTTGTATAATGTCGGTAAAATTGCAGTTTTCTAAAACACCTGGTAGTTTCTAATCTCTTTTAAACAACACAGGTGTCTACATTCAGTTCTGATCTTTAATCTGCAGGTATCAAAGAACACATCCTGTCTTCTGCTTATATAAATTATTGAGGGTATTTGGCTTATGTTTCAGATTTATCAATTTAAAAATTACGAAGGTGACTTTCGGAGATTGTTTTATATGCCTTGTCCTCATTGAAATACTGCTAGGGAATATTGAGTCTACTTTCAAACATGTTGCAGAGGTTAAAGCGCGAGATGCATATTAGCTTGCACTCTTAAGTATGAATGAAAATGTTCAAAACTTTTCATAAACCCTCTAAGACAAAAACAACCCTGAAGTGAGATTCTTTTAAAACACTTCAGATTTGATATTAATCAACACCTCGCAAGAAAAAAGTTCGATAAGTTGAAAAAAAAGAATTGTTTTATTTCAAAGACAAAATCTGCACGAAAACAAAACAAACAAACACAACTGACAAATTTCTCGTTTAATTTGTTGGCTCTAAGACCGTGTTGGTGTAAATACCTGCCTTTTGTTCTCAAAACACTGTTTATTTTCTATCCTAAGAAACACCTTTCATCTTCCAGCGATAAACACGGTGAATGTCAATTATTCGATGACTTCAAATAGACCCAACACGGATCTGATATATGCCCTGTCTTCTTTCATGTCCGCATTTAAGCCTTGCTCACAATCCAAGCCAAGTAAAACATGTAGTTAGATGGGGAGAAGAAAGTTCAAAGTGATTTCTCTGTTTTGCGCGAAGAAACGAAGGGTTTGGCATCAAAGACACCGCGGACTCTTCACCTCCGTAGTTTCTTAGTACAAAGGCACTAACAGTACTGCTGACTTTTATGTGCCTACAGACTTTACTAACTGCTCTAAATCTTAAATTGTTCTACTTTTACTTGAATATAGAGGAAACATAAGAATCGTTGGATAAAACGACCATGAATCGACGAGAATGATTTTCGTGTTTAGTCTTCATAGTTATTCTATTGAGTTACATACAAAATTATTCATTTTGTTTATTCTGTTCTGTGTTGATTTGATTGAATTCTAATATGTAAAGTATTTCATTCGGTATAGCGGATGAAATAAAATTATTTTCGGCGAAGTTTTAACAACGTCCATTTTACTGAATTTCCCTTCGTTTATAGAGGAAATTTATAATATGCGGAGAGTTAGGAAAGTGTTTAAATCGTTTTGTTCTGAATTTGTTACAAGTGCAAAAATGTTTCTAAATGTAAAAAAAAAATCTGTCGTAAAATTTTGATTAAACTGTGAAATTCTCATAGTGTATTAGCTCTTGATCAGTAAAAATTTATCTTCAAGTTTTCTCCTAGAATTTATCGCCGCCTGTTATTTCAATTAATAGGCAATATTCAGTAATAAATACAAGATAGGAACAAATTGTTTGTCGAAATTTTGATAAACTATTTCGACCATCAAAGCAATTGCCGCCGAAAAGGTCATCAAGCGCTTGAGTGAAATAACAGAATCTGGCAAATGTTTGAACACAACAAAGACAAAACGGCTGCTTTTATGTGAACGCATAAGAAACACGGAAGATTAAGTATAAGAACGAAAGCTGGGATAAAACAATGGATTGTGTGTTATTTCTGGATAACAATAAATCATTCCAGGCGATAATGTGGTCTAGAGCTTCAAACAGAACTCCTTTTAATAGAAATACCACGAGCACCGTTTATCACAGTAATTGAGAAATAATAATTTTATGACGATGGTTAACTACGATAAAATCATTACAAATGATTTGAGGCTGGTTTTTAGAGCGATAAGAAATATATATCTTGCTCTCTTTGATGTTTTAAAATCAACGTATATATAGAAAGAAAAAAAAGAACACTGTATGAAATTTTGAAGAGAGGATGTACTTTCTCATTTATAAAATAGATCATTTTCTTACATTTGAAATAATAAATTTATCTTAGATTTGGTTATAATATAGAGGAGAAGATTTTGTATGTCACAGTAGGTTATTTACTTCAAACGCGGAGGAAGACAATTTGTCAGATAGCGCGGCTTTGAAGTCTGATAATGGAGTCGCTAATTAGTGCGCTCCTCTCGGATCGGAGTTTTGAAGCCGCGAAGAAATAGTGTGACATGCTGAGTCCACGTCAACAAGTATCAAAAAATTGTCTTGTATTAGTAAAAAAAGGGCACAGTTCTTCACAATAAGTTTATAGGATTGTTAAGAAATAGTGGTTGTTATTGGTTTCGTTAAAATGTAGTCATATCGATAATGTAGCTAATTTTCGATGGAAATCGGAAATGGGGATTGTAAAAACCATGTTTTCTTCCCTCATGAAATAAAATTTTATTGAACTTTTGTATAATATAGGATGGGAAATTAGTTTGATAACTTTGAGCTGTAAACCATTTAACGTCCTTAGAGACCTGCTCTTTCACAACATACCCAAAGGCGGACTGACGCCATTTTAACAGAGTTGTGACGTCACTAAGTCCTCGCAAGAGGAAAAATGGTGGTTCCTAGTCACCCAGATGACGTCGATGCTTCTTCTGTTTTGAAAAAAAAGAATAGTCTCTACGGAATTTGAATGACCCAAAATCCTCCAGGGGGTCCCAAATGGACCAACAGACGTCAGACAGTCTATATCGAGGCACAACACAGACGAGAGAATGGCTCTCTCTCCTTTAATCTGCCCGTTTCGCGGATTTGGTCCTGGAAATAATCGTTTGATTCTAGCTTGAAATCAAAAGCTTATGACTAAAGATCTGATAACTGTTAAGATATCATACACTTAAATACTCAAGTGCTCTCTAGAGTCGTGCGAATTTGCCTATCTTTTTTTTCATTGAACGATGTACTTGTTAAATACTTGTGAAGCTAGGCTCATAAATCATCGTCTACTTTAATACATCACATCTTTTCTTTAACTACACCCTGAGGTTAAATTGTCATCTCAAGTACGACTTTAGAGTTTTCTATCCGCATTTTAAAGTCTTTATTTTCAACTGATCGACGGCAATGCAAACACGTGCGTGTAAACAAACCGTGTATTTTCACTTTTCATTCATAAACAACTTAACGAATAGCGCAATGAAGGTTAAGTATAAAGATCTGCTGCACAGTTTCGGTGTTTGACCTTTTTAGATACCTAGGGGCGTTGGAAAGGCAATGTAAAGTTGATAACGAATTCTGGAAGTTCTCAAAAAACGTGAAACTAAATTCTCCAAGGTTTTATTATTCATATTTTTTTGTAAAAAGGAATTATTCCAATATACAAAATTTACATAAAAATTTCATCTCACAAAATATATTTTTGTTCAACTAATTTGATTTGAAAATTCAGGGAAAATAATGACTCTCTTTATGTATTGTTTATCTCAAGATTTCTCTATTAATTTTTGTAAAGATTGAAATTTGAGGAAAGGCTATTAAACGCAAAAATCATTTAAACTTGAGTACTCAAGTTTTATATGTGCAGATGACATTTTCTCCTTTATCATTTTTTTTTTTAACCACGTTCTGTTCAATTATTTTCAAGATCAGAGAAAATGTGAATTCATTGAGAAATTGATCTTGGGTCTATTATTTATCTTGTTTTTTTTTTTTCAAAGCTGGAATTTTATGGAAACACGTTTTAACAATTTGATTATAAAAATAATGTTTACGGTACAATTTCTTTTCTTTCAGGTATTATTTAAGAAAATCTCATGGCAGCAAAAAATGGATCATATTTTTAGAAGGTAGGTGGATCATATTTTTAGAAGTTTGGGCAATAAATTCTTGAAAGACATTTCCTATTTTATTACGCTTGCTTTCTTTCAGTAAAATCAAAATAATTATATCTTCTGATTTATAAATTAATTTCAGGTGGCTGGTATTGCTTCGACAGATTTAGCTGCGAACTGCGATGGAGCAGTAAAATGAGGAAGTATATGACGTCCAAAGGATGGCCAGAATTCAAAACGGGTAAGTAAAAGTTTACTAATCTGTTGATGACACAATTAAAAAAGACCCTAGGGATTGAAAAGATCACTTGATATTGACAATATAAATTTTAAAAACATCTCAAGTTTATTTTCTTGAAAAATATCCCTCATATGACTATGTAGTATGTCGGAATATTACATGTATAATATTAGGGTTGTGTAATTTGAAACCATTGCAAGAAAACAGTAACGCAACCTTACTCTGAGAGCCTATACGCCTTCATTTTTCGATAATTTTTCGTCATGCGAGTATCCTGGAGTGAATATAATCCGGGACATACAGAACAATGTACCACTTATGGAATAATACTTGATTATGGTAGCTTTGAAGGCCTAATAAACAGTCTCAAATCTACACCTGTCGACAGCGATCAAAGGGACCGCGATTGGATTAGCCGATTTAGGGGATATGTTAGGATTGGATAGAGCTTAGGCGAACAATGCTATTATCACTCATAAAGGGTTTTTGAGAATAGGGATTAGAAAAGTCAACCCTTGATGATCTTTAAGAACTTCTGTGTAAATACTCAACCATCGTAATGAAGAGTTTAAACAAGATTATTTTTGTATTGCGGTGCCGTAATGAAGTTGTCAATCCCCAGTTACGCGCTAACGTCGATGGAAGCTCCTAAAAAAAGAATACCAGTGGAAGTTTTGAACTTTCATTTTTTTCTGTTCAAATGTTCGATGACGCATTTGTGTTGGTTCATTAGAAATGAGAAGTTTATTGTGGCCTGTTACTCGCCAAGTAATACGGTGTTCTCACTCTTTGCACCGAAGAACGCGGAATAGTTAGAAAAAAGTTAAAAACGTTAATCTGGTAAGGGGCAGACCACCAAACGTGAATTTAAATAAACTTGAAGCAGCGTTTATCTCAGCAAGTAGTCAACAAAGATTAACCCTAATTAAAGGTCGCTTAGCTCAATACAGAAAACATGTAAATCCCACCTACGTTCGTGATAAAAAAAAATCCCGCATATCTCAAAGTGTTACACCATTCTTGAACTCAGTTAGAGACAGTTCCCAACCAATTATGACAACGGGGAACCTTCAATAGGTCCCCATGAAGAATTTGTCTTTTGGTTTTATTCGCGGTAACCAAATGTTTTCAGGGATTGTTTTGGTCTATCACGGAATTTCTGCTGTTACAAGAGGTCTAGGTGGCCTCAGACCAATGTACATACAAGATCAGCACATGCGATTCCTTGTTTCGTAATCACTGAAAGATAACGAAAAAAAAAAAAAAAAAAAAAAAAAAAAACAATTAACCGACGTCATTAAGAAAACCAGAAGAAAAGTTTAAGAGGGCACGACCGTTATGGCCAATATAAGAACACAGGGTCGTTTAAAACGTGTCGCCGTTCTTTATGTTTGAACTTATGGGTTCTTGTCTTACTTTACGAAATCCTGATTTTTCATTAATTTATCTTGTTTAAAAAAAATCCGCCCGTTGTGCGATGTTGCCTCCAGGAGATTTTTTCTATGTCTACTCTCACAACAATTAGCTATCTAACTGACGCAGATTACTCCCCCAAAATAACCAGCAAATGAATTCGGAATCTATTCTTTATTAAGAAAGTACATGTTTGTATCGGTCTCTTAGTAGTGCTTTTGTTTGTAATTGCCGAACTTGCACGTAGCATGTGTTCTGTAGTAATGGTTTTTATGAAATAAGATTGTACTTTTTCCCATTGATCAAAATAATAAAATAAAATGTCCACCCCCACTTGAATCGAAAACCAGAGCCTTAGTTTTGAAATTAACTTTCCCATTTACAAAGTATGTTTAAGCTTGCCTTATTTTTGTATCATACAAAGTATTTTTATTTTTCTATTATGTCTACAGATGCCCTCTTACTATGAAATATATACATAATTTTTTCTTAAAGCAATTTGTAATTAAAAATAAATGAAGTTTACATATTAATTAGAATTGGGGAAAGAAATCTCAGTATAGGGTTGAATAGAAAAATAGGGCCAACAAATAACAAGAAATATATAGCCCCATTTAAAAAATCAAAAAGAATTCATCAGCATGCATATTTCGAGAAAAAAAAAAAGATTTCATTTGGACTCCATGTTTTATTTAAGGAAAGGATAGGGTGACACATAATTACAGCGATGAATACACGCCTACAAATCGGAGACACATTGATGGACCGCAAAAAGCTCTCTCACTTTATTCCGATCATAAAACTTTAATTCCTATAAATATAGATACATTATCTACTTAGTCGTTTTAAATATTGACGCAATGACACATTAGAATGCATCAATTCAGATCGCATAAAATGGACATGGATTGAGAAGGCTCTGAAAACTTTCAATTTTAACATAATATCAAATATTTGAAATTGTTCTGACTTGCAAATAGGAAGAAAGACAAATTATACAACAATAGCAATTTTATTGGCGCCAAATAATCGAAAAAATTTCCATTTGATGATGTGAAATTTATGAATATTTGGTTTAATGTGCTGATTACAATTGATTTATGATATAATGTTGGTACTCCCCTAAAAAATGCTTAGAAATGATAATATACTGTTTTATACGTATTCATCAAACGTATTTTGCTAAACATCTTATTTTATAGGAATTGAGCTCGGTAAAACTTGAAAATTTCAATATTTACTATTATTTCTGTAGGTAGCGGAATCCTGTCTTGGGATCCGAAAGAAAATCCATATTACTTCAATGCAAATATAGTGTGAGTATTGCAATACGAAGTATACTAGGTATTGTCAATTACAAAATAAATTGAAAATATTGTTAATACATGTATTCCTTTTTTAATGATTGATTACAATCTATATAACTATTTTTTGCATTGCAAATAATTAAAATTTTGTGTATTTAGGAAAAAAGTTCATTTTCGATAACAATAGGAATTCGTTATTTTTAATTTCCAGATATGTCCCATATTGTTCCAGTGACTCTTGGACAGGGACAGCAAAAAACGGTAAGAAATTTACTACTTCCTCTACCGGTGTAAAAAAGTTTACATAAAAAAAAAACTACTTCCTCTTCCGATATGGGATGCAACGCATAAACGTTATAGCAAGACTAATTAAGGAGGCTGGGGGGTCAACAAATTAACCATCAGATATAACTTAATTTTTAGATATGATATCTTAAGCTGTCAACTATCATTTCATTTTTGCAAACAAAAATTTCATACATTTTAGTTTTAAAATTTGATCATTTTTGTATATCTTATATGGAGCTCTTCTTCTAAAGGAGATCAATATAGTCTGAAAATGGCCACAACCACCCAGCCCTCTTAATTTATTTTGTTATTAATTCTTCGAACTGAGTTGAACTATATATAAAACGTTTAAAAGAAATAATAACTAAATTGGAAGATTTTCTGACGGAATATGCTTTTAGATATGCTAGTAAAAATCTTGTTAGTTTTATGTAATTCGTGATTAATATAATGCAATTTAATATTGCATGGTTAACCTTGACAATGACAAGTTTATATAGTTGAATATGATAGCTTTGGTTCGATAATGGCTATATATTTCATATTCCCATCCGGTAAACAAATGAAGTTGTACTATGCAACCTGTAAAAATTTGATTTCTGATACAAAATTTGTACAGGAATGTCAGTTATTTCATAGCAAGCAAATCATGAAACAGTTTATGGAAACTAAGATCCTGTGTATATTTTCTTATAATTGCCCATTACTTGTCAAAATGACTGCTAATGCTTCTAAATAAAATGGCGAATTCCTTGTTGCAGGGCACGGATATGCCTTTTTGGGGTCCTATATTATTGAGGAAGTAATTCGAAATTTGATTCCACGGGGCCTTGCTAAGGCGAAAAAGCTGTTTTTAACAGGAACAAGGTGAGTGATTTTTACAAGACTTATACGGACTGTAAATTTCTAGAATTCCTCGAGTATGCTGTCAAATTGTGAATGTACTTAAAATCCATAAATTAAAGAACTGTTTACTGTTTTAAATTAATGAGTTCGAAATTACAGGTTAAATAATCAAAAACCAATTCTTAGTTTTATACCTCATTTGGCGCTCATCTTTGATTTCATTTAGTGCTGGTGGCACTGGCGTCTTAATGAACCTTGACCGCGTTGCAGACCTCATGAAAACATTGGCCCCAGGGGTCGAGGTTCGAGGGATCGCCGATTCCGGTTGGTTTTTAGACATTCCACAATTCAGCGAAAAACCGTGCACAGAGCCTTTGTCTTGTTCCCCAACCACCGGGATCCGGAAGGGATTCGAGTGAGTAACCCCGCCCCATCCCATCTTTCCAACATGTAATGATGATATTCTCCTTTCTAGAACTTAATATTAGTAAACGCTTCAAAAAGGTTTCCGTATATATCTGTTTATTAAGTAACCAAAAAAAAAAGTCATAAAATTATAAACTAAAAGATAATATTTGCATGAAAGCAGAAAATTGATAAATCGAACGTATGATTTTTAATATATTAAGAATATCAGGCAATAATAAGTTACTGTACATGCGTACATTGTCTTAGCAATTGGTGGGATAATAGGACTTTTGATTTTGTGCTTTATTGAAAGAAAATAATCGGAATTGCATATAAATTTAGGAAACATACTGATCCTCCACCCCTCCTAAAATTTACTTCTTTAGTTTTAGCAAAGCACATACTATTAGCTAATTGCGAAAAACCAATAGAATAAGGAATATTTCTACAACTGTCATATTCAACAAGTTCATATCAATCTTCTTTGAAGTAAATGAAACAAGGATTTCTAGCACTCTATTTTATTTTCCCTCGCCTGTAATTGAATTGAGCTTGATTTACAAATATCCTCCAATTTTAGACTAAATTAAATCTTGATTCCCGCCCTTAAATTGTGTCAGGTGCAAACTGCTTTCATCTTTCCGATCCCGATCGTTTTAACATGTTCCAGTTTTTTCTCCCAAACAGTTCCTTTGTTTACTAGGACATAACCCAGTGTTTACAGCTCTAGGTTCAAAGGACTTTATGAAAACTATACACTATTGATGGTCTTATTTAATTAGATACCCGATATTTGAAGTTTTCCTTTGATGTTTGTGATTGGAAAACTTGTTGCTTGACCATGGGAATTCGGAACAAAACGGGGCTTAGACCTCTTTTATATTTCACCATTTCCATTTATCAATAATTAATTAGCGCATATCGATGAATTCTGTGCATGCAAAAACTACTATTTATTCCAATGTGGAGTAATAGTATTTATTTTTTACATTATATTATAGTCAGTGGGGAGGTCGTGTACCGGAAGCTTGTAAAAAGGAATATCCGGGTCAGGAACAATGGCGATGCTATTTCGGATACCGGATGTATCCGACATTAAAAAGTAAGAAATACAAAAATATTTAATCGAAATTTTAACACTTTTTTTTATGACTTTACAATGATAAGTATGTGCCACTTAAGTTTAAGATTTTTATTTTAGGCCACTCAGGGAAGGAATTACCAATTTTTACTTTTTCATTTATACTGAATATCCCTTTTCCTTTCAGCTCCTGTATTTATTGTGCAATACTTATTTGACGAAGCGCAAATATTAGCGAATAATGTTATAAACCAAAACAAACTGATGAACTATAATGGAAGCAACGAACTTCTATCTAAACAACAGTGGGAGTATCTGTACAAGCTTGGAGAGAAGGTCAAACAGACGCTTGAAAACGTGACGTAAGTTAATAACTTCACGAAAGTGTTTAGCATAGATAATAATCATTTTCACTCATGTTAACTATATGTGACTTTTGGGTTATATTATTTCTTTATTTAATTGATATATATTTTAAGAAAATGTTTTTTGTTACAGGGCAGTATTTGCGCCAGCTTGCTTGTCTCATGAAGTTTTACTCAAAAAGTAAGACCAACTTTACTGAAGGAATTAATTTCTGTCGTATACATTGTAAAAATAGTACACACACACAAAACGTTAACTTATTATACGAAATTATTTACAATATTTTTTCATACAAATTTATACTGCAGAGAAGCTATTTTCAATTTTTTTTTTTTTACCGTTCACAGGAGTTGGCATTCTATATCTGTTAAAGGGATATCCCTGTCTCAGTCTATTTACTGCTGGGAAAACAGCTTTGAAGGAGAGAAATGTATAACTGCCACAAATGGGAGCACGAGGTAAAACAAAGCAACTCACTTTTACGAACCTGCTAATTCTACTTTCAAATTTGTAAGAAGTGATCCAATTATAGGAATAACTTTTACAAAACGCAATTTTTTTTTCACATTCATACAATTTCTCTAGAACTAACAGCAAGTATGTACTGTATTTTCAGTGTTAAACTAATACGCCCATATGGTGATGCTCCTGTCAAAACTAAAAAACAAAACAAAAAATCCCAGCGGAAGAAAAAGAAGAAGAGGAAGAAAGATAAAAAGAGAAGACGGAGACGGAGGAAGAATAGAAACCGAAAAAATAAAAATAGAAAAAACAAGAAAAATAAGAGAAAGAATAGAAAGAAGAAGAAGAGAAAGGGAAAAGGAAGTAAGTAGTGTTTTATTTTATGTAAGCAGAAACAGAAACGCTTATAAAATAATTTCAAAGTTTGAGTTTCACATAAAATATAAAGTTTTTTTCTGTCGGTTTTATAGAACTTTTGTTGTACATCATAAAAAGTCTTTATCCTTAATGTTTTCTGTCAATTTGTAGAAAATAGAAAAAAGAACAGATCCCAGAGATCAGCTAAAAATGTCAGTAACTGCAGCCATCATCTGATAGAACAGTGCCCCCTACCTCAGTGGTGCAATAGCTTTTGTCCCACCTTCCGGAACCAGTATAACGGGAAGGAGATTGACTTTTTTAAGGTGTTTGCTGCTTCCGGTATGGACAGTAAAGGAATGGCGGAATTGTTGGGTGTGAATATGTCAACAGTAAACGCCATGAACGCTAACACAATCTCAACATTATTACTGGACACATTTAGACAGAAAAAGCAGACATAGTGTATTTTTAAGGACGATTTCAGTCCTTTTTCTTGCATACCTCATTCAAAAGTACATCGTGTCTTAGTTTGCTGGTTGAAATGCATTTTCATAAACCATGTTATACATTTCATTTGTACATACATTAATGTTAAATAATACTTTGAATTAATTTATTGTCGAATTGCATTAAATATTTTCATGAAAAAGCATTTTTTTCATATCATGAAATAAGAACAATCAAAGACTAAATTAAACAGCATTAGGACATGACAGTGACGAAGTATTGTATAATAGATGAATCCTTGTCAAGATTGAAATTTCTGGTCTGTTCTTGGGATTTATTATAATCACATTTTTGTCTTGTTTTCAATTTTAGCCATTTGAATGAAGATGTTGCCTAAATATGACAGCTTTTTGAAACTTTTACTGAACATGTATGTAGTCGTATGACGTTTGTTTACTGGGTAAAAATTTTTATTTTTTTTATTTTAACAATTAGATGAATCAATTTATTTTCTTGCTTATAGTTAAACTTATACGAGTATCGCAAAATTGATCTTATTTTCTGATGCATAATTCTACATGTCAGAGGAAAATGTAAATATCTATTTTTGTTTTGAATATCCTTATGTGATACGTAGCAATTCAGGGAAAGTGAATTGTATTTTGTATATATTGTTATTTTTTATTGTGCTGTATATACATATAATTTTATTTTGTAGCGATTTGTTCAAGCAATATTATTCTTTTTTAAAACTGGATCATTAAATTTTTCCTGTGGCGTCTACAGTTTGTTTTTATTGTTGAGAAGGAGAAAATTATGTGTCCGTAGAGGAGTCAAACTATATATATATATATATATATATATATATATATATATATATATATATATATATATATATATATATATATACCACCTTACAAAATATTTAAAGAATAATAACTTTCACACCAAAATTTAAATTCATTGATTCTTGCTAAAAAGAACAGTTTATAACCAGAGCTTTGAATTAAATATAAGAATGATATTAAATTTTAAGCTTAAAAAATAGTGATAATTGCCTATATCCCAGAGAAATTAAATTTGGAACACCGATCCTTATAACGCTTCTGAACAATACATAAGTCTGTACCCCATGCCATCTTGTTGACTTATCATTTGGAGAATTTAAAATATTGAAATTTTACAGAAGGCCAATAAATCTGAATGGGAATGCCTTGCTAACGCCTATCAAATAATACACAATATTTTTTTTTTTTTTTTTTTTTTATAAAATGAATTCATATCAAAGATGAGATCCAAAAACGCAATGAGTGGACATGAGTAAATTTCATTATTGAGTTGGACTTGAAATGCTTTGCTAAAACTTCTTCAAGTTGTCCACAAGGAAAACATATTTAAACTAAAGAAACTTAATTGTCCCTATGTCAACCTCAGCTGAAAATACAAGAAGGAGAATCTTAATTAATATCAGAATTTTTTTTGAAAAATTTAATATAGTGAAATTTGGCTATATACATGTAGCAAACCTTTAGTGATAGCCAGGACTGTTCCACTATGCAGAGATAACATTTTCAAGTTTAATAATTTTAAGATTTTATAGAGGCTATAAACTTTTCACACAGAAGAGTGGTAATGTGCAGTTAGAATGATCTGCAATTAGATTTATACGGAAATCTGTAGTGAAGGGCACAGTTTTTGTAACAGATTAAAGTATTCCTACCATTTTATTAGACCAAATTTTTTTGTTAGATATTTTTTCAATGTATGTAACCAACAGTGATTTTTGTTCACTAATATTTCATTGTCTTTGAACATTTTTCCATGGGAAATATGAGAGGATCCCTATTTTAAGAATTAACTTGAAACACTTTATGTGATAGAATTTTCTCAAAGTACCCCCAAACCCAATTTTTCATTATTGTTTAGAGAATCTTTAATATGAGCATAATTAAAAAAAATGTTCTACTGTCTTTTGGTGATAGACTAGTTACTTTCTCTTCTATGTGTAATACTACAATGAATTGAACATTCGCAATTTAATTACAGTCCCATTTTCAAGGATGAAAATGGTGTATGATAAAATTTTGTAGTAAATTGATTCATTGAAACATTGCGAAAAAATGTCAAAAATGTACTAATTCAAACTAATTTAGACTGCACGAAAAGCCATTCTTAGAAAAATATATAAAACGGTTACCAGGTATATACTTTGAATCATTAAATTATATCTTATCGCAAAATGCAAGAATGATGCAATGAAATTTTCTTGGATTGTAGCTTGAAACGGCTAAAGAGAGGTAATTGGTATATTGATTGTCAGAACGAATTGAACGAATGTCAAATATAAAAAATTAAACGTTTGATACATGCATGCATTTTTCAAAAGTGTATCATGATAATGTGTAGAATGAAATTATATAAGGGCACCAACATGAAAAATACTTGAGTAGAGTTGTTCATATGCTGGACGGACTAAGTCTTGGTCTTTCAGATTCAAGATTAATATCTATATAGCAGATGAGCCGGTATTGAAGCGTACTTACTGTATCCCTAATCTGGAAAATAAATCATCATTGTTGGTCACAGGTTAGTCCTTATTGTTGCGGCTTGTGACCACTAACATTCAATGAAACTTATGTATGTCAGCATGCAAGATAGTTACGTTTATGTTATGCTGATAGATGACGAGTAAGAATGCTGAAATATGAAGATAACAAACTAATCTCATAATTCCTGTAAACAATACAAAACGTGAACAGGGCAAAACCTGAAAAAACGTTAAAGGTTGGATCAAATGCCTGGAGGAGTAAGCATTCCCTGTCCCCAGGTTTGCATGCCGTGAGGTATGTATTGACCAGGTGAACGAAGTAAACCGTAGTCAAAATAGGAATAAAACAATGGCATAATAATTAGTATAAATAAATGCGATCCAAGGAAAGACTGTATTTGCAAATATGGTCATTATAGCGACCGTATCATTTGCAAATGTATAGATAGTTTTCAGTTGGCCCAAATTAGCAAGAGTTATTTCCCGTCGGCCGCCATATTGGAGGTCAACATGCTCATATTCCTTCATAATTCAACCAACTTTAACTTTTTATACTGTCCATTGTGGGGTAGGAAGCATTGTTTTTCTGAAAAATATACATTTGTTAAAGCCTCCTTTATTTCATTATTTTTATTCTATAAAGATTTTCCCCCAAATATTTCTGCTACACCCTCTTAGATTTAATTGGTAAGACAAAGAGGAAAAGTTACCAGGTTGACACCAAGATGGAGGCCAAGGGAAATAACTCGGAGGGAAAATATGTCATATGAAAACTATCTATTATCGCCACATATTTCATTTTAACCACCGAACATGTATATCTGTTGGTGGACAGTCTGTCCCCGAGGATACTTGTCATTCGGTACCTATGCATTCATGAGTACGCAGAATAACGATATGATACTGGCAGACGCGTCGCCCAGTATAAAAAGGCGTCACTCTTTTGAGTCTATAAGGGACACAGACTCGAAGAGTTCATTCGGTGCCCCTCGGATAATCATCAGGGATATTAAACATATGTCATATGTGCAGTCTTCAGATTCCCAGTTTTGGTATAGAACCGAGATAATCATCAGGGATATTAAACATATGTCATATGTGCAGTCTTCAGATTCCCAGTTTTGGTATAGAACCGATAGTTCATACAAAAATTTGAAAGAATGTAAAGTTTCTGTAAGAGAAGATTCCTTTTCCGATCTCATGTCTTCTATTTCAAAATGTCCTGTGAAAAACTAAAACATGTGACATTTTGATAACTTACACTTCTTTCACTAGTAGTCTTACTGGACAGAGCTTCTATACCAAAACTTGGGAAAATCTTAACTGCAGATCATCTAATGTTGTCTACGGAATAGAATGTAATCTTTGTGGGTTTATTTATGTTGGGGAAACCAAGGGTTCAGTTCATAAAAGAATATCGGGTTACAGATTTCAAATAAACAACGGGGGCCAGCAGCTTCTCTACAAGCACTTTAATTTACCTGATCATTCAATTTTGTCAATGAAAGTTATAATTCTAGAAAAGATTTACCATCCTACAAACATTCCATCACTGAGTACACATTTCCGTAGACAACGAGAAGAATTTTGGATTAGAAAACTAGGGACGGCCTTTCCCTGTGGATGCATCGACAATGTTGATAGTGTTGGGAATCTTTCCAGTCCACAGTGTAACAAAGTCATTGTCATACACAGAGACGTAAATTTAGTCAAGGACATCGGTCTTACAATAAACCTTTAGTACACGATATCTCTTTTGATTCGTTACTACCTTATGTAAATCAACAGTTAGGTCTTCATTACATTCGCACCAAACTTTACTCTGTCCCTTTGAAACTTTTGAATAGTCAACTTGAAAAGGTCAAGAAAAGTCCATTTTTTGATTCCTCGACATCAGAATACAGACTCGGATCCTTTGATTATGGATGTTGCAAATCATAGTCATTTTAAACCGCCACGTTTTACGGAGGAAAATGCAGCTAAAACAACCGGTTTTCCCCTTAAACTCCAATATCCCAACAAAGGAATTGACGCGGTTAATATAAGTAATATTCTTAGTCACAAAAGGGTCCAGTCTTGTATTCCACCATATTTCAAGTTGAAGCCTACACCTTGTATTTCCTACAAATATACATCGACTATTGCTTCCAAACTTTTTAATTACAAGAAAACTTTACAAGGCCTGGATATCGAATATCTTAAACATAATCCTAAATAATTATACTGTATCAGATGTATGTTAAAATCTCGCATTGAGGGCAGTATGAAAACCATCTATCCTTCTGTATTCAATAAATCAGAAGTGAAAAAAAAAAGAATTAGATAGATTACAAGATCAGTACGTACTGGTCCCTGTTGACAAAGCAGGTAACAACATTGTCTATGTTTGTAAGGCTCTTTATATAAATTGTATTTTAGAGGAGCTGGGATTTAATTCTACAAGTGGTAATCCAACTTATACACATAACTCCCTTTCTAAGGAGGAAATTCTTCAAAATCATGTCAGTTTTGAATATTTTTAATATTCCCAACAACCAAAATGAATTTGAATTACAGTATCTATATTGGATTCCGAAACTTCATAAAAATCCTTACAAGGATACATAGCGGGTTCCAGTAAATATTCTACCAAGCCTCTTTCTTTACTCGATCCTCACTAAGATATTAACAGAAGTGAAGGAAAACTCGAAGAGTACTGTGCAACAATATATTCGAGAAGTGATGTTAATCAGATGTGAATACTAAAAAATTCCAAGGAACTTTTAGAATATTTCAAATTACAAAATTTTACCAAAATCAACAACATAAAAACCTACGACTTTTCAACTTTATATAAAACTATTCTCCACGATAAATTAAAGTCCAGAGTTTCTGACATCGTGGACAGATGCCTTTTCAATAAAAATGGAACTCGTAAATTTACTTACCTTGTCATTGGTCATTTGCAAAATTATTTTTTTTAAAAACAATTTGATTGTACACACAAGTACTCTGAAGTTGACATTAAAAAGGTGCTCGAGTTTCTGATTGATAATATCTATGTGGTTTTTGGAGACCAGGTCTTCCAACAATCTATTGGAATTTCCATGGGTACCAATTGCCCTCCCGTTATTAGTAGACCTATTTTTTGTATTCATATGAAGCAGAATTTCTTCAAAATCTTTTACGTGAAAAGAAGAAAACGCTTGTTGTGGCCTTCAACTCGACATTTAGATAT